TACCCGTGGCTCGTAAATGGCACGAGTGTCGGTCGCGCGGATGCCGAATACACGTAGGAGACGAAGAGCGAGCATTTAGTGAAAGGCAGCGTGTCTTCCGTGGCCGAGATTCGAGTGGATCGACGGGCCTAAGCTAAGTCACGATCCCCTTGGCTGTCGCGTCGCTTCTCGCGCTCGATTCGCCCGTGCGGGACACCCGGTATACGTGCGCGCGCGCGTCGCGATTTATTATTCGCGCTCGTGCGACGAGCGGCCGCCGTCGCCGTTGCGCTGCAATTTGTTTAGACGCGCGGCGCAGGCTCTCTCTTTCTTCCGATCGGCCGTGCGCAGAAATAATCCTCCCTTAGCTCAATTGAGCCTTCTTAACCGCAAGACCCGCACGCATTGGGACGCGCAAGCTCAATTTCGTCCCCTGAATAGCGATACTTAGGGGATTACTCCGCGAAACGTGTAATGCCAACCGGGATTTCTCAGGAGGATTCTCAAGTATCAAAAGGATTCCTAGAGAATCGCAGAAACTCGTACGGATGGGGTCCGACTTTATCTACATGTGTATATCTTAATCCCTGGTCGCGGCGAGTTCCTCGTGAATGGCACTTGTGGACCGTGCTTAATTCGGCACTGTGACCCTAATTTAAGTCGTCCGGACTCCGGAGGAGAAAAGAGAGAGAGAAAGAGGAAAGGAAAGAAAGAGACACACTCGTTGCGTAGAAGAAACTCGTGAGCGACGAATCAAAACGTACAGATACAGATTCGTTCCTCTGATGAAGATCCTCGAATTCGCCTCGACTCGAAAACGACGAATCTCTGAGGAGAGACTCACCGCGACAGCAACACCTTGAAATCCAGTTTCCCGGCTGCACGCGCAAAGGATGAGAAGCGCAAGACGTGCGTCGCCGTTCGTCGACAGTCTTGCGTGCGTCTCGTGGATTTTTAAAGGGCCCCATTGGCTATTTACATGACCGCAGTGCCCCTTCGTGCCACAAAGAGCTCTTTTATGTCCCAGAGACTCGACTCTTATTTCGCGAAAATTGCGAAACAAGTCGGGGAGAGAGAGAGAGAGAGAGAGAGAGAGAGAGAGAGAGAGAGAGAGAAAGAGAAAGAAAGAGAGAGAGAGAGAAAAAAGAAACAGAAACGAAGAGGGCGAGAGGAAGATGTTAAGACGCGAGAGAGTTTTATTAGCTCGGTTCTCTCTGCACAATAAATCATTTCCAAGTCGTGCGAGAATTATCCGAATGTATTCCGCTGAAAGTAATTAAAGCTTATACAAGGTTTCTTTCCGTAAGAACGCGGTATTTCTCGGACCGTTTCGTGCTGGGAGATAATTAACGGGTGAATGCAATTGCAGTCGAAATTATAATATAAAGCCGATATCGAGCTAGATGGGGAGGGGGAGGGGGAGGGCGAGAGGGAGCAAGGCTCGTTATACGGCAGGGGTTTCGCAATAGCGGGATTGGCGTGCGCCGATGTCGTAAGCGCTCGTCGAATGTGCAATGGAACGGAAAATCCGGCAAGTTTAATAATGTTCCCGTTAGAAGAGAAAGGGTTGTACACGCCGACGATGGTCGAGTTCTCGCGGGGCGGAAGTATAGGGTAGGAGGGGGATTCGTTACAGAAAGCAGCCGTGAAAAGCGGCGCGGCCGCTTTCTTTTTACTGTTTCCTGACCCACCGTAAACGTAGGAATTTAGGTAGGTAGGTGGGTATTTAAAAATTAACCGGCCGTATCAATTGCGCGTCTCCGCGGCGGACGATACGGATTTCTTTATCAGGACGCGGGCGCGGGCGTTTTCAGAGCCGCGGTGGAGTAATTCGCGAGATGAAACAGCGGGTCTATTTTAGATGGATTCGTGGGATTGGATAAGCAAACACACGCGCACACACGCAGAATACTGATTCGAAGAAGCTCCGCTGTCCATTTTGGCGCCGAACAATGATCTATTTTCGCGGCACTTCCGCGCGCGAAACGTCATCGCCGGTTTCGGCGCTGCGGAACGCGCCGCTCCCGACGCACGTTCTACCATCAAAAAGCGACTTGTACGGCACATAACGCACGGTGAGACCTCGAATTACGTTGCGCCGCTACAATCGAGGTCACTTAACGTTCGACCCGACGTCGGGACCCGACTCCCGCTAATTGCGGTGCGATCTCAATTTTCAGCTGCCGCGATTCCGCGCGTATTCGGCGGTATCCAGAAACACGTTTTCCACGGCCGCACGCTTCGCTAGAGAGTCAGTTTTCACGTTGCCCGGAGTGGATGGCCACGTAAAAGTATCCCGTTACCACGGTAGCCCAGATACCGGATTACGGAGCACGAATTGTCAATTGCGTATGAACGAGACATGGGCTTCTAAAAGGCCTTTCAGCGAAACGCTCGCACGCACGATGTGCCGTTTCTTCGTCTGACGTTGGAAATTTGCGATTCGCAGTAGAGGAAGGCAAGTGCTGTTTTGAGTCAATCCGCAGTCATTCAGTACGTATCAAATATTATTGCAAAGAGATACGAATAAGGAAATGTAAATATATATGTGTGTGTGTACGTCTCAGTCACATACACGGAAAAAATAATTCCGTTAGTACAATGTGAATTTTCTGCTGACTGGAAGAAGAACCTATTGGAAAGATTGGTTGTAGGAACAGAAGGATTCCTGCAGGAAGTTTCTGCGCAGTCAGTTATTCTCCATTATTACAATCAAGTTTTAATACAGCTGATCATTCGGCCCATCTCAATAGTTATTACTTGAAACTCGTCGTAGGTGAGATGCTCAGATTCGAGTTCGAAAGTTAGATGAGAGCTTTTCAGTTGAATCGTGATTGCAGATACAAATGTCACATATATAATTCGTAATTCAACTGAGAAACTTGGATCTAATTCTGAATGAAAATTTGAATTTTTCATATGAGAAAAACGCAAGTTTCAGGTGATTGCCATTAATACGAGCCTCAGACAAATATGTTTCTTATAGAATTGTCAACTGATCCTTACTCAGCTGCACGAACCGAGATCTTTTTTCCGCGCATTTGGATCCTCTTCATTCCTCGCGAGTTTTCCTTCATGGGAGTTTCGAAGGGACGAAACACGACGTCGTTTGCGTCGCCTTGGAACTTTAATCGCACGCGCGAAAGCTCAAGCGATTCCAGCTGATCCCGCCGTAATCTCGCAGTTACGTATTCAGACGTGAACTCTGCACATGCTGGCGAAAGATATCGCCACCTCTCCTATCGCGGGTCTGAATATGTATCTAATAAATTTAACAGAGAAAGCGCGCGCACGAGCGTATTCGCGCTCGTTTTTTTTTTTTTTATTTTCTCCTCGCGCTTTTGGTCTCTTTGGTCCTTTTTAATCAAACTCTCGCTCTCGCACTAACTCCGCGCTGTTATCGTCTTACAACACGCCGCCGCTCCCATTAACATAATTGTTAACGGAGCCATGAGGCGTCTGCATGGCTGATCGGTGTAATAGAGTAAACAAGTTGGCGCTACGGAGAGCCACTTAATCTCCAATTGCCGCGTTCGCGACTTACGCCGTCGTCGCCTTAGTTAGAAGATTCTCACGTGACGACTCGGCGGGCACAAACGCACGCTATTTTCAGGTACTTTTAGACGTGGTTTACCCGTGCATTAATTTCGTGTTAAAGTCGCGCTACGCTTCGTTTAGCCATTAATCAATGAAAAAGCAGGCGCGCATTCCTGCGGAGACGGAGCGAAGAGAGAGAGAGGGGGAGGGAGGGAGAGAGAAAGAAATAGCAGAGATCGATCGACTGGTGTTGGTAGGCTAGAGCGAAAGTCCCGTGATTTCAGGGAATGTGCTAGTTCAGGTCGCTCATTGCAGCGGCCGATAAGGCGCCTCGTTGTTGTAACAACACGCTCCAATGAATCATAATACTCTCCGATAGCGTAACGCCATTCGGGACGGCAGACCCGACTCGGTGAACGGCGAGTTTACGTCTCCCGACCGCCTGTTTACAAGATGTAACCCGCAGGGCCTGTCACAATGAAAATAACTTCTTCCTCCGGTATGGTCCGGTAACCTTCCGCTCGGGGTACCTGCGAGGGGAGGCCCGGAAGGGAACGATCGTTTGTTCAGATACTCGCAGATGGAACACGACGGAATTGCGCGCTCCGTTACGACGAGAGAATGATGACTCATTGAGAGACGTGTGTCTTCGCCCGCGAACGAAATTGATTAATCGCCGAATTGGAAATTTGGTCACGCTAATTACCCAGATGGAGATTAGGTCGGCGGCGGCGGTGAGTTTCACCGTTTTCAACGCGCCGGAGAGAGAGATGTAATTTTTTTAAATGTTTTTTTTTTCATCAAGTGGAGAAAGGCCATCGCGATTATTGATGCGAATTTTTTTGCCTTTTCTTTTTTTTGCATAATCGAGCGAAGACCACGCGTCTTTTCTCCATTTACTCCGCAATCGTTCCGCGTCGTTCGGCCGAATTCAGTCGCTCCGCACGTCGATGGTCGTCTGGCATTTTTTCAATTCGATCGCCGCAGGCACGCGACCCCTGTACGTGACCCTGTCGCGAGAGAGAAGGACGCGATATCTCCGATTCGTGTATCTGTCGCGAAGGCTGAACTGCGTGTCCCAAATCAATAGCGAGATTCGCGATCGTTCTGCGTCTACTAGAAGTCTATTTCTTCGTTCAATTACAATGGCAATTAATCTGTTTGATACGTTATCAGCATCGTATAATGACTTCGGTTCCGCCGAAGTAGTAGCGATAATCCTTTCTTTTATTTATTTGTTTCCTTTTTCTAACGCGCTTGACTAGCGTTTGCGGCAGAGTTTCGGACGCACATTCAGCGATAAACGCTGCCGTCCGATTCTGTTTACCTTCCGCAAAGCTTCTCGTTACTTTCTTTTGTTATTTTCTTTTCCTCCTTTCAATTTTAGAGGATCAGTAGGACACGCTCAGTGCTAAGTGTGCATCCGCAGTGTGGATCGCCAAAGTTCCCTGTCTTACGGTAAGAAAGAAAATTCCGGGACTCACCTTTAATCTTGGTCTCCTGCGGGTCCAAGGGCGGTAATCGTGGGTGCGTCTGCTGTCCGGGTTTCTTCAGCAGGACACCCACGATCTGCGGCGCCATCATCATCCTGGCTTCTTTCCCGAGCGCTTCCTCTCGCTCTCGAAGCATCAATTTGCGTCGCTCGTCATACCGGTCGCTCTCGCGCATTCCCCGCTCGGCTGTGGCCTCCTCCGCAGGACAATCCTCTATTCCTCCGCCGGTACACCCGAGTCACCCAAAACGACACTGCACTCTGCCGTCCTGGGCCACCTTCTCGCCGTCGTCCCGTCGCGGAGGAACGGAAGACCGAAACTCGCGCGGAATCTCGATCGCGGCAGCTGTCGCGATCGTATAGTAGTTTCGTTCGCCGGGTTCGTCGCGAGAAGAGGCAGAGGAGAGACGAAGAAGGCGCCGACCGGGACCTCCTTTCCACTGACGACGACGCTCCTTCTGCGTGCCGCCTCGCCTCGTTATCGTCCGCCTCGCGCTCACTTGTCCTCCTTGTTGATCGTCGCCTGCTATTTTTCAATTCGATCGAACGCGTGACCCCGCGCTCGACGCGTCGAGAAGGACGCGGCTCTCGCCGAGCTATTATCGCCGGGAGACGAGGCTCGGTGTGACTCGTCGTGGTGTGTCCGCGAGTCGATCAGTCTTGGACCAGCTGACGACACCGATATCGAATTCCCAGCGGAAAATCTCACGCCCCGCGTTGATCCCTGTGTTTCCGCACGACCGGATCGTCCACGGCGACAACGAAGGCTCGTCCGCTTCGACCTGTCATCCTGTTCCGCGTTGTTCTGCTCGCCGTAGCTTCCGACTCTGTTCTCGAGGGAGAAGGAGGAAAGAAGAACGTGTGATCGAAGAAAGGTGCGTCGGTCGATATCGCGGTTTCAAGAGCGATTTAAATGGTCTCAATCATTTGTGCGATAATCGTATCACCTGTCACGACCGCCGAGACGCGCCGATTCGCCTCGAGCGCTTTCGCTGCGATTGTTGGCACGCGCGCTCCTGATTCCGTGATATCACCCCGACGATGCGCCGCTTCGTAATTGACAAGTTTATCACGACACAAAGATAAGTTTGCCGACCAACGAACCAACCGGCGTCCTCGATCACGACTCTCGAGCGGACAGAGCGTGACGTTCGCCTCACGGAGCGACGTTTCCCGCGCGACGACAGCGACGACCGCGGCGACTTTCGGCACTACTATCGATCGCCGTCTTCGATATCTCGAAACTCACGAGAGAGAAAGAGAGAGAGCGCGACCTCGCTACGCTCTGTGTGTTGACAAACGTCGTCGTATCGCTGTGCCGCGGATCCTCCGGTGCGCGAGTAATGGAGAAGACTGATTACTCCGAAATCAAATCAACGACGCGCGCTGATAGCCGAGTCAGTCGGGGAACTTTTATCGACGTACACACGCCTCCCTTGTCGCATCCGGCGAACGTCACTCGCTGATGAGATCGATCCACGGGAATCGTAGTTGTCCCGCGACGAACACAACAGGCGTTCTCTCACGTGGACACGACACGTATCACCTGCTGCGGCTCCTCACACTCTCTTGCCGCGCGTCCTCCGCTCCGATACTCGACAATCCCCCCCAACCCCCGGACGCGGAGCGTTATCACTGCGCCTCGTGCTCCGAAGGGGTGCGATCGATCCCTCGGCCAACGATGGTGGGACCTCGCACGCGGCTCGACACCAACTGTGGCAACTACGAGCTACGGACGTGCCGATAGCGTGGCAGCTTGGCGCGCGCGCGGCGAACGACTGATCGCCGAGCGGAGCAGGCGAACGCGAGAGCGCATCGTGTGCCCTCCACGCTTGCTCGGTCCCCTCCATTCACCATCTGCGTTCGGCTTTCTCTTTCTCTACCTCAACGGGAGAGAGGTGAGTGCAACCCTCGTGGGTCTTTAATCGTGTTTACGCGCGCAGCCCTCGTGAAGCCACTCATTTTTACCATTTTTTTGCACCATTATAGCGCATTTCGCCACTTGGGCCCCTCGATTTCCCGACTTCGAAACAAGTTTCCGGAGGGAACTGCCGAAACCTCCGTCGGTCGTAGATTTTTCGTCATCGCGAATTTTTAATGTTGTAATACAAGTATTTGCGTTTAATTTAAGATATTTATATTAATTTGTATTGTCTATATGCTGATCTTTTTTCTTCTACTTTGTACATCTCAGAGCCTGTTTATGTAGTTTACACCGAGAGAATATTGGTTTTTTTTTCATATAATTTCTTGGCAGTTTTACTATGTTTCTAGCGCAGCAATAGATTGTTTAGTAAAGTCTCTCTCGCTAAGGAACGTAGCAGATATTTTAACAGCGGATTTCGGTTCCTAGATTGCATTCCAGAACGCCCTTTTTAAGGAAAATTTCATTGAAAATCTATAGTTTACGTTGCGCATACTATAGATTTCAAAACTTTCCTCAAGAAGAACGTTTTGAAATGTTAAAATATAAACACCGAAATGAAGAGATAATCAATTACTGTAGAATGTCAATCTCAAGTAATGGAATTTCTCAGTTACAAAATAGCAAATTGTACTACGCAAAATCCTCCGTCTAGCCGAAATATTTGTATCAATTACGAAGTTATCTTCGCTGTATAATTTAACAACCTGCTATAGGCTTTAGTGATAGACGTGCGTTTGTTTACTCACATTCGTTCTAATCGAGTACTATTTGTACAGCCGATAACATCGCACGATTTACTTTTCACATTTAGATAAGATTCAATCTGCTGCTATTGCGCCGTTGGCACGGCTCGCTCGGAATCGCGACGAGCTGTTGCTGTTTCTTATCCGTTTCTTAACGTCGTATTTACAAGCGTGACATCGTGCCGATGAGTGGATCGAATAGCTCGCGCGAGATTTGTATTCTCGGAAGAGCGTCACGAATATACTGTGCGCTGCGGACAATCGATCGAGAGAGGAACACAACGCTTACAGCGCGCGACAGTTCGGTTTTGCAACGCCGCCTATCAATAACTCACTTCCGTCTTCTCTATCTCGCTGCTCGGGTCTCGATAATCGCAACACATCCGCGCAATGCACATGCGCCGCACCGGCTCGCCTTTCTACCGACGACGGGAAGGATACGGAAACCGATTTTTCCGCGGCTTTTTGCCGCGGCGCACAGGATGCGGGAACTCGATCGCGGTATGACGCGCGAGGGTTTCAAGACCGCGCTGATCTATGACGGTGGAGCGCAAATTAAAAACGCGGTGACACACTTTCACCGTCAAGTGCCGCTACTATTACTACTACTACGATCGCTTACTATTTACTATCACTGCCGGTGCGCTACTGCCTGCCTGCAACGTAATCGCGAAGCGCAAGGATGCAGCATCGCGCGCAAAAATCCGCGTGACCGCCGCATTCAAGCAGAATCGCGCGTCTCGCGCGCGCTGGGGAACCCGCGAGACATCAGACGCATCAGGACTCACCGGACGAAAAGCCGACGTGTGACTCGGCGCGTTTTGCCCGTGAGCATCTGTCGTGCTGCGTACTCGTCGTGTTCCGTTTGGATTTTTCCCCGCGAGAATCCATCTCGAGCCTCTGGAGAGTCCAAGCTGTGCAGAGTTGCTGCGCGAGCTCCTTCCACGAGCAAATCTCGCGATGCATGCCGCTGAGCGAGCTCCTCGCCGCGACAAAAGCACCCTACCAAGTAACCGTATATTCCTGCCGACCGCATTACGTCGGGGGGTGTCGCCCTTTACATTGTCCCGCCGGGGCCCGAACGCCATAAACTTCGGAAAGTGTCACGGTCGCACGTCGTGCGATTCACGCGTCTGCAATAACGACGACGGCGACGACGACGTATTGGCGACTTTCTTCACGACTATCGCCGAGGGTCGCCCGAAGATCGGGCGGTGCTTGGGCACCGGAGGTTAAGGAAAGACGACTATTTCACGTGGGGCTATACGACGCGGGACAGGTGCAACAGTAGGGTGGCAGGAAGTAGTGGAATCGTGAGACCGATTGTATCACAGCTGAGCCAAAGAACCGGAGTCCTTTAAGCCGCACATTTTTCGACATTTGGAACAAAATATTTCTCAAAATTATTGACTCTCAAAATATTTTTTCGACACTTCGTTGGAGCAAAATATTTTTCAAAATATTTATTGACTTTGCAAATATTTATACAATCATATACGCCGTACATGACTAAAACGAAGGAGAAGAGATAAGATCTTTAAGAACCGATTGCTGGATAATTGGTGCACTTTGTTAGATTTTTAAGCCATTTAGATAAACCTGACCGACTTGAAGTGCCGATAAGGCCGGTGAGGATGAACCTGATAAAACCTGCGGAAAGGACGTGACTTAAAACTACCAAAAATTTTTTCAGAATTCTTTCCTTCTCTTTCAGTATCAACTTTAAGGAACAATATTTTAGCTTTCTTCTTCACATATTCTTCTTCTTTTTATTCTTCACATTGATTTAATCCCAGAAATGAGATTTACATAATTCTGAAGCGAAAGACGATCATATCGTACATAGAGGAAAGGTTAAGGGTTGAAAACCGTCTCTTGCGCAAGGGTTGCGTTCTGGATCGCCGGGTCTTGTTTGGAGATGAAATCGTTGACGAGGCTGGCGACCGAGACAAATCGCACGGCTGACCGCGCCGCGACGAGGTATAATTGAACGACGCGCCGATCCATATCGGGATGGGGTGATCGCGTAATGCGATATAGACATTTCCGACGTCATCGCTCGCGGCCCACGGTATCAGTATTCCGCACGCGCGAACACGCGAACTCGCGCTGACTCTTAACTGCGCATCGTCGCGTGCTCGGCCACGCACGAGAGCGCGGATAATAATTTTCCCCTGGCGAAAAAATATTTTTATACTCGCTCCCTCGAGGGCGCGCCGCGAAAAAATGCGGTCGTCGCGAACGCCAGTCGCGTATACGCGCGAAGGATGGAGACGACGGGGCGAAACGACGAAGAAGCTCCAAAAATATCCGATTCCTGGTTACGGACGTCGCGCGGACGGCACGCTGGTCCGATTCCCCGAAGGTAAAAGGAGGATTTTTCGTCCTGAAATAAAATTCGTCCGCGGCATGTGGACGCCGTCGCCGTCGTCGCCGAGCGCATCGAAACGTCGCGGCAACGATATGTTTCCACGGACGTAAAGCGACAAGTTTAGCGACCGGTCGCGCTAACGTCCCCGAGCTTTCTCTTAAAACGTCAGATTTAAAATCCTCCTTTGCTTTGAAAAAGTTACGAGTCGCGTCGTACCGGCATCGTCGATGAAATGGCGGCGTGATTAAGCAACGATGACTTTAGGTAAATCGCCGGTTATTTCGGTACTGAGAAAGAGAGAGAGAAAGAAAGAGACAGAGAGGGGGAGCGGGAGCTTGTTTTTCGACGACAGAAGAGACGTAATTAAATTCTCCCGCAGTGGTTTTGCGATAGAGTCCTGAAAACTCACGGGAACGAGTCCTGAGTCACGGGCGCGTTTAATGTGCGTGCTTATGTGCGTGCGTGCGCACAAGGCGTTAGTCACGGCAGTGTCACTTAATTAAAATTGCTCGTTGAGCGTCGGCCGTCGCGAATCAAAAAGCTATACGTCGCGTACCAGATGCAAAGAAGTAAATTAATCTTTGGCCACTTTTTGCGTTGCCTTTCGGCGAACAATTCAGTCTGCTAGGTTAACCCCTAAACATGAGTTTACGTTTTTTTTCCTAACCTGTCATTTTGACCATTTGCTAACAGAAATAGATCGTTAACTCAGCGGTTCTAGTGTCAAATTTCCCTTTGAACACAGAAATAACCGTTTTCGCTGATACGAGCACGCTTTTTTCCAGTGCTCGCAGTGATTGACATGACCAGAGCGATTTTTATTCGCACCTATCCAGTTCCCTTCAGTTTTTTGTGAGAGAAATATTGTAATATCAATTTTTCCGTGGATATATAACCACAGACATGTGAAAATATACGTATTTGAAATTTACTCGACGAGATTTCTTTCGTTTGAACTATTGCTTAAAATATAGGTTATAAGGAAACGTTTTCTTTTAAGTTTGGTGTTTTCTGGTGGACAAACTAAGACTCATACAGAAAAATGGATATTACTACGTTTTTCTCATAGAAAACTGAGAGGAATAGAATAGATGTAAATAAAAATCGCTCTGATCATATCGGTAATGTTCATTGTCAATACTGTGAATTTTCCCAAACATGTCAATTGATCTGTTCTTTTCAGCTGCACTGCTGAACCGCTGTAATAGGTTGAAACGAGATCAGTATATTTTCTCTCACTCTTAACTTATTGCACCAGTTCTGCAGTGCAGCTAGAAAGAATAGATCAAATATTATCCGTTTGGCCTGAAACATCTCGACGACTCGCGTCAAGACCCAGCTGTCTAGATCGACCAATTTGAACAGGCCGCTTAGTACAACGAGCACGCGATAGGCCACGCACAACTCTTACTTTCACTTTTAAGGAAACACATATGCACTCGTTGCGGCACGCTAATTTTATGAGTCGATTATAGCGCGTTGATTAATCATTTCGAAATCGCCTCGAAACGGCACACAAAGCGACTTGGTCGACTCGCCTCTCTTGCTCGTTTCGACGAGTACCACGAGATAAAATTGTACACATCGATCAATTTTGATTCTCTCCTCTTCGTTGATCCGTTTGTCCATTCTCTCTAATCGGCATTATCAGTGCTCAGCGATCGGGCGCGCCGATTCTCGCAGCGCGACGAGAAAGAAGCCGGCACGGTTTTCATAATTCGCGCAGTTT